TTATTAAACAAGCTGTTGCCTGGTCATAGTTATTGTTCTTTTGCTGTTGCGGGACGGAGGTGGAGGTTGCAAAGTTTACGCAAAAGCATAAAAGAACGAGTCCAGTAACAGAGACACACATAAAAAATTTGAAAAAAATGAAATAAATTGCGGCGCGCGCCTTTTTTAATAACGTTTATCAGCTGACCAGTGCGAGTGCTAGTGGGTTCGTTGGGTGTATAGTTTCGGATAAAATAAATGGATTCATTTATTTATTTATTATATTTTATATACATATGTATTTACATATCTAAAGGTGTATGTATATATTTATTTATTTATTTATTTTTAACTCTAAATACCTTAAGGAAAAAATATTTCTTAACAAATATATATATGTATACATATATAAATATGATAATAATAATAAAATCAATACAATTAGTCCTAATATCTTAGCCGTGGCTGCATGTGGGTGGAGTGGTGCCTGTTCAGTCACTTTGACATGTCGCTAGTGACAATAGCAACAAATAACAAATAATAACAGCGGCAACGGTAACAAACAACAAACACTACCCCCACTTGCAACCATTATGCGCGTTAACTGAACCTTTAGTAGTACGAATTAAAAACAATTATTGTTTGGCTTTGGCTTTTGCATTAATTAAATAAAAAATCACACAAAACGAAAGTGAATTTCAGGAATTGTTGGAGCTAGAAAATATTACACTCTTGGCTCGACACTGAACGCAATTATGTATGGGTTTCTTTAATTTTTATGTGCCGCTTTGCAATCTTTTATTTATACTAGTTTAGTCAGTTTTAGTCAGAATATTGCAATATATCTTATAAATTATAGATTCTTGATACGCATCACAACCGAGTCGATCTAGACATGTCTATCTGTCCGTTTCTACACAGTTTTAAAGCTTTTTGAATGAACTTATGTCTTAATGATCCAATTGCAAACTGCAAGGGTATAAAAATGTCGGCTTTTTGAAATTAGCTTCCTTTTGTATTTATTTGTTGTATTTAATTTTAACCATATTTATAAGAATCAAATCAAACCCTCGTTTGGCTTGCAATAGTATTTTATTATTTCGGTTACTTTTGCTTTTGATAATTCGAACAAGATTTTTGCAATAACCTTATTATTTTATTTGCTAAGTTTCTTTCAGTGCACAAAAAGCACCAAGTTAGATACAGCGAAAAGGGGCGAGTGTTTTCAATGTTGAAGATCAGAGCGTGGGATCTTTTTGTTTTGTTCGTTGTTTGCTTTAGCATTGTTTGCCATTTGTTTTATGCTAACTTAAATGCTAACTAAATGCTAGCAATTAAATGTTAATGTTAATGTTAATGCTGCCACAGCAGCTGCTGTCTGCTGCTGATGTTGCTGCTGCTTTTACACTTTTCTGCACTTTCCGTCTCCAAATTGAAAGGGAAATTGAAACTGAAACTGAAACAGTGACGAAGACGGGGCAGCAACAACAAGAAGAACAGCTGAAACTGTTTCTTAGCGTTTTGCATATGGCAAAAATGCAATTGTTGTTGCCATTTGTTTTTGTTGTGCCTTTAATGTTTATTTAACACGCATTGGAAACACAGTGTATGTATGCTTGTTATTATTATTATTACTAATATTTTTTTATTCCAAACACCCACGCTCATAAGCAGCAACAACTACAGTGGCGTGTGCGTGGATTAATATTGAATTTTACAATTGGTTTCTTTTAAGGTAATCAATTTTTTTAAATATAAAACTAAAATAAAGAAAGAAAATTTGCAAGGCCAATAAACCCATTAGGGAACATTGTTTTCATTAGTTTTAACTATTATTTTTTAAATATATATTTTTGTATTCAAACTGATAAATTCCACTGTGCGAACTTTTTCAAGTTCATTATAAATAAAACGTAAATATTATTAAATTGTGTGCAAACCCAGAGCGCATTGCACGTGCTAGCTTTGCATGTATGTGTGCGTGCGTAGGGGCGCGTGTGCGCGTGGGTGTGAGTGAGCGATGGGCGAGTGTATTGAACTCTTGCTGCATTTTTTTTTCACAATTTTTCGCCGTGTTTTCTTGCATTTATTTATATATTTCTGCACTGTTGTTACAATTGTTTCGAGTGTCGAAATGCGATCGAATTTATGGATTTAAAAGGGAAGCTGACATCGAAAACCACTCTTCTTCGGCACGGCAGCTGACACCTTTGCTCTTTTGACCCTTTGCTTGCCCTAAACCTCTTTCTCTTCTCGAGGCGGTCAACTGAAACGCCGAAAGTTGTTGCTCATCTCTTCCCGACAATGCACTGTGAGAAAAACCATAGCCAATTGCAATTGAGGGTGGGTAGAAATAGAAATAATCATATAATTATTTATTTAAAATGTTTTAAAGTACTGTACGTATATATGTGTGTTTATATGTATAGCCACTTTTGGAATTTAGGCAGCTTCCTATTTTATATATGTATGTATGTTTATACATATTTCTGCATGATTCCAGCAATGTAATATGAAAAATAAAATACTTTGGAAACTTTTTATATATTAGATGGACACTCTGAAGACATTTTTATCTATTCATACCCAAAGCTGTTTAGATTACAAATTTCCCTCAGTGAGTTGATGTTAATTTGAATGTTTGCTGATTGCCGATGACGCACCCCGAAAAGGCGCAAAGGTGAAAATGTGAAAAGGGACCGGGAAAGAAGAGACCCGATCGTCTCCGACTTCCGTTTTGGGCAAAGTTTGAGGTTAAGGTTGAGGAACTGCCCAGGAAGTGTCCGCACGGGGGTTAATGGAGTAGATGTGACTGTGCACTTGGACATGCATATGTATGTGGATGGTATGATGAAATCATCTCCCCCCGCAAATATATACATACAAACATTCATACCATACATATGCATGTTAGAGCGGGAGGAAAATGGTGCGGCCTAGAGAGAAGGCAACAAACTGGTGACCAATGGCAACGGGATTTACCAAAATCCGAAATGCATCCAAACACATATGTACATATGAATGTATATGTATGTTTATCTGTGTGTGTGTGCGGGTGCTGTGTACAGTGGAGTCCAACATGGGACATTGTTCAGCACGATCTAAACGCTAATTGTAATATTTATGAAACTGATGAAATGGCAACAACCTTATCTTTGTTATAAACATTTATTGATTTCTCTTCTAGTGACAATCATTTTTAGCCTATTCATTCAAAGCTCTTATAATGCGTTGCATGATATAAATTCGTAATTTTGAAAGACATTTAGACTTTATATTGAATCAGTACATGGCTCAGATATTCATAAATGTATAGAAATCTCTGAAACAGAAAGCAGTATTTCAAAAAACTCTACAGATATTAAAACCATTTTTTTTATTTTTAAATATGTAGATAAATTAAGCTTACTTTTCTTTACGTTACGTAACTTTTTTGTAAGTATCTTTAAAGATTGGTTAATAAGTTAGTGATTTAAAAACATTACTTCAAGGGGAATTAATAAAGAAATTAAATATAAGATAACACACATTTTTTAAGGTTTATCTAGAAATGAAAAACATTTTTTGCAAATTGATTTGTAAATTAATAAATGTACATAGAAAATCAACTGGTTTACCCTGAAAGTCACTTTTACCAAGCATTTAAAAAATCTCAAATCTTAGTGTCTTTGAACCTAAGAAATTTAGATTTTTATTATTTTTAACTTAATGCATTTACATACATACATACATGAATTTTTATAAACTTAATTGGAGTCTAAACCTAAAATATTATTTATCAAGTTTTGTTTTTAATATTTTCATTATGACAAAGGCAAAATTTTTGGCCTTGGGTTTAGTACATAAAAAATCATTAACACATTTAAATAATATCGAAGCCCTTAAAAATCTTGAAGTTTTTAAAATAAAGTATACAGATATTTTAAATTTGTTTAAGTGACCCTTAAAAATTATTTATATATATAAAATATTTAAGGAATCAATTATTAAATTAAGTATTAATAAAACAATATGTTTTTGGTTTTAAAAATCGGTGCACACGATAACTCAAAATCTACTGAACCAATCGGTTTGAAATTTGGAACATAACTTATTTACGTAATTCCACAGGTATTTACGTCGAGTTTTTTTTTTAATTTTTAAATGTAAAAATCGGGGTTTTGACTTTCAATTTTTATAAAAAATCGGAGAAATTTTTTAAAAATAAAAACGCCAAGTGAGTAAATATCCTTTAACGTTAGAGGTATAATTTTTTTAGATCGGATGATTCTGTGGACAGTTAGGATGTACACCGCAAACCAAATCTTTTTGGAGGTGACTCTGGAGGTTCCCTATAACTCCTCTACCTCTAAATATTTTTCAATACAAAAATTAACAAAAATTGTTCAAATGTTGTGTTATTATGTACATATATGGTATTTACGTGGGCATTTTATTATTATATTATATTATATTATATTATTAATAAAACAATATGTTTTTGGTTTTATTTTTCTTGGCAAAAAACTAGGATAGTTAAGGAACTTAAAATTGAAGCCGAACAAGCCGCAAAAGGAAAACCAGGAGGAGGATGAGAAATAAGAAGCAGAAGTCTTCTGCTGCGTCAACGCCTTCTCTGCCCTGCTCTGCTCTTCTCCTGCAAGATGAGAGAGGAGAAAAGCAGATATATTTCCCACTCGCTCTGGCGCACACGCACATGCGTGCGCCCCACCGAATGCCAATGTGTGTGTAATCCTATTTGCGCCCAAAAATAAAACGACATAAAGGCAAGAAGGAAAAATCCAACAAGAAGCAGAAGCTGCCATTGCGTCGACTTCGCTGCCGGCGTCTCGAGTTAGGCGAGCCGCACGCGGACTCTCTCTGCAGTTTTATCTAACCCACACCAAGGAGGGAAAGCACGCACACCAAGGCACACATCTGCCAGAGCAGAGCAGAGCAGATACTGCGCTCGCAGCAGCGACGGAGGCAGAGGCAGTTTCTGCCTGAGAGTCGGTATTCGTTCAGATGGTGGTGGTGGTGGTGACTACAAAAGATACGACTCGTACTCGGATTCAGGTATCGTCCAGCGCTCAGCGTTCAGTTCACTTCAGTTCAGTTTGGGTAGCGAATCGGAGACGTTCTGAGCAACTGCGTCTGGCCCGACCGACTAATATTCATCCTGCGCGAACGGTAAACGGTTGCGCTGCGGCTGCGCTCAGAACTCTCGTGCGCGTCAACGCGAAAGCATCTGCGGCGCCTCCTAAAAAGTATTTTTTTTAAGTTGCAATTTGGATAACCACGACGACAGCACAACACCAATTTTTTTCAAGTCTGGCAATACTATTAGCCATTGATTTGGATTTGTGAACTCATTGCATGTGCGTTGCAAGACGGGCGAAGTGCTCGATTTTGGCAAATGTTATTTTTTTAACTTTTTTGTGTGCCTAACAAGTGAAGTGAAGTGTTTGCAAGCAACGAAGAGACCGGGAACAATGCTCGCGACACAGCAACAACAACAACCGCAGCCCGGCAGTGGCAGCAGCACCAGCAAAAATAACGTAGCCGCCGCCACCCACACCAACACAGACGTAGTAGAGATGGAGCGGAAACGGAGAGAGTCCACAACGTCAGAATCTTCTCTCGAGCATCTCGACCTCGGGCGAACGCCAAAGAAGCTCGGCGGCAGCGCCGGTGCCGTGCAGTCGACATCGACGCCGCACGAGGTGGCTGCAACGTCGCGCAAGCGCAAGTTGCGCCAGCTCCAGCAGCAGCACCACCACCAGCAAAGTCGGGATCTCCTCAGCGATGAGGACGAGGACGAGGAGGAGGCACGTCCCCTCAATCGGCACAAACAGCGACGCGGCGCCACCGCCGCCCAGGGATCCTCTTCCGCCTCCATTGTGGTGGACTACTCCGCCGGCGATGCCAGTTCGCTGCGCAAGAAGTTCCGTCTCAATCGTTCGGCGGCCAGTCTCTCGGAGTCGGGATTCGTGGATGCCAGCAGCACGGCCCACAGCGGCTTTCTGGTCAACAACAGCAGCAGCGCCAGCACAAGCCTGGCAGTGCCTTCTGCCCCCACATCCGCCGCTGGTGGAGCAGCTGCCTCCGCCTCAAGTAGCAGCACCAGCACTAGCAGCAACAGCAGCAGCATCGGCGGCGGTTCCGGCGGCTCCTCGCCACAGGGCCTGTGCCTCTCTAGCGGTGAGTCTGGCATCGGTGCAGGCGACGAGCACATGAAATACCTGTGCCCCATCTGCGAGGTGGTCTCCGCCACGCCGCACGAGTTCACCAATCACATCCGATGTCACAACTATGCCAACGGGGACACGGAGAACTTCACCTGCCGCATCTGTTCCAAGGTAAGTAATGCAATTAAAGAGATCCCAACGGGGCTTGGTTTGTTTTCTTTTTATTTTATTTTATTTTTGAGTTGATCTTATAAAAATTTGAATAAAATAAAGCTAAAAAGATATTGTAAAATATTATATATTACTTACAATTTATGTAGTAAATATAGTCCCTGCAAAGGTTAGGATAGAAAGGCAATTATATACATTGTATTACACTGGTCAACAAGAACCGGAATATACTTTTCCGAAGGTTTTTGGTGCGCTTAACACGAATCTACAAATTTTCTATACGTCAGATTTTAAAAATATTTGGGCATAAAAGTAAAGAATGAATACTGTTTTGGGTACTTTTGAGGTGCTGTGACTGCAATGAGTTTTATTTTTCTAAGCAATCGTTACGACATCTTGAAGAACTGTTCTTGTCCTTAGTAACTAGTTTTCTTAAATATGAAAAAAATTATTATTGGATACATATCGTCTCTTAAATTTATATTGATATATTTCTAAGTGTGGCGGATTTCAGAATATATTTCAAATTTTATAAATTAATTAATAGTAAATTAATAAATAATCTTTTTTTTTATTTGACAAAACTATTATTGGATAGATATCGTCTCTTGAATTTATATAGATATTTTTACATATATTTTTAAGTGTGGATTTTAGAAATAATTTCAAAATTTACAAATGAATTAATAAATAGTTTCTTTTTTATATAAAAAAAATTATTATTGAATAAATATTGCGTCTTAAATGTATATAGATATTTTTCCATAGATATTTATGAGTGTGGCGGATTTTAGAATTTATTTTAAATTTTAAAAATTGTTTTTGAAGGTCAAGAACAGTGCTTTATTATTTAAGAAAATCGTATTAATGTTACATAAACACAAAAGTACCTTTAAACATTATTTTTCTCTCTCAAAAACCTAATGTTTAGATAGTTTACTAAAACCGGATACAAGTTCAGCACATGAAAATCTTTCGAGAAGGATACATGTCGTTATTGGTTGTGCGATTTTTTAAAATTAAATATAAATTGAAAGTCTAATTTTTAAACAGAAAGGTGTATCTTAGGGCTGATTGGTTGCTTTTCCCTTGTTAGCTTCCTCTATTTAAGTACCCTTTCTTGGAATAGACAGGTGTCCTGGCTTGGCATGGGGATCTCTTAATCGCTTTTCTTCTCTCACTCAATTACTCACCTGTGCTCCACCTTTCTCTCTCTCCCTCTCTCTATCAATTGCTCGAAAACAGGTGTTATCTTCGGCCTCATCCCTGGACAGGCACGTGCTGGTGCATACGGGCGAGCGGCCGTTCAACTGTCGGTACTGCCACCTGACCTTCACCACCAACGGCAATATGCACCGCCACATGCGCACTCATAAGCAGCACCAGACGGCGCAGTCCCAGTCCCAGTCCCAGTCCCATACGCAAGCCCAATCCCAGCAGCAGCGCCGTCAACAGCAGCAGCAGCAAACTCATCCCGCCCAACAGCAGCAGCAACAACAGCAGCAACAGCAAACGCTGGTCAGCTCCATGCCAGTGCGGGCGGAGAGCTATGAAAGCGACGCTAGTTGTTCCACTGATGTGTCCAGCGGTAATAGTCGCAGTCGCAGCAGTAGCTCCCTCCACAACAACAACAACTCCCACAAGGCTCATAACAACAACAGGAACAGCAAGCTTGAGCTGGAGGAGATGCAGGAGCAGGAGCTGGAGGATGACAAGCAGCAGCTTCAGCGTCGTTTGAAGACTACCATCAACAACAATGTCATCGGTGAAGAGAACCATGCCGAGGAGGATATGCATGGTGAGGAGGACGCCGACGATGCCGACGATGTGGCCATGCTCACAAGCACACCCGATGTTGCCACCCTGCTGGCAGGAGCCAGTGCCTCCGGTGCTGCATCCCGTTCGCCCTCGCCCTCGCCACCCGGCTCGCCCGGTCTGCTTCTAAGTTGTCCCGCCTGCGGAGCCTCCGATTTCGAGACGCTGCCTGCCCTGTGCGCCCATTTGGATGCCCGGCATTCGGATATACCGGCCAAGTGCCGGGACTGTGAGGTGATATTTGCCAGCCATCGCCAGCTGCAGGCGCACTGCTGCAGGGGACCTTCCTTGGGAGCGGGACTGCCGCCTATGCTTGGCGCCAGCAGTTCGCCTCTGCACGCCGACGAGGATGCCGAAGACGAGGAGGAGGCGGATCACGAAGACGACGAGGAAATGGAGCACAAGCGCGACGACTTCTTCCACAAGCTATACCTCAAGGGAACATCAGCAGCGGGAGGAAACGGTGGCGGCGGCATCATCTCCCACCCACCGTCACCAATTAAGCACGAGCCGGCGGACAGCAAGGATCTGGCCGATATACAGAGCATCCTGAACATGACCAGTTCCAGCTGCACCAGCAGCTTCCTGCGCAACTTCGAGCAGTCTGTCAACACGCCCAGCTCCAGCCAATACAGCTTGGATGGGCGCGATCAGGAGGAGGAGGCCCAGGATGCCTTCACCTCTGAGTTCCGCCGGATGAAGCTGCGCGGTGAGTTCCCCTGCAAGCTCTGCACCGCCGTTTTCCCGAATCTGCGCGCTCTCAAGGGCCACAACCGCGTGCACCTCGGAGCGGTTGGACCCGCGGGACCCTTCCGGTGCAACATGTGTCCTTACGCCGTCTGCGACAAGGCGGCGTTAGTACGGCACATGCGCACCCACAACGGTGACCGTCCGTACGAGTGCGCCGTCTGCAACTACGCCTTCACCACCAAGGCCAACTGCGAGCGCCACCTGAGGAATCGGCACGGCAAGACCAGTCGCGAGGAGGTAAAGCGCGCCATTGTCTACCATCCCGCGGAGGACGCCGGCTGCGAGGATAGCAAGTCGCGGCTGGGTGAGGATCTGGCCGACATGAGCTTCCGCTCAATAAGTCCGACGCCGCCGCCACCGTTGCCGCCAGTTGGTGAGAACAGCAGCTCCCAGCTAAAGCACATGCTCATGGGCGAGCAGCAGCATCACTCCCAGACCCATCCCCATCATAATCATCATCATCCGGTGGCGCCAGCTCAGCCGCCACTAAAGATTCAGGTGAAGAGCCTGGACCAGCTGGTTGACAAGAAACCAGCGACAGTCCAACAGCCGGAGAAGAGCTCCGCCTTGGACTTTAGCATGGATGTGTTGGATCTCAGTAAGAAGCCAACGGGTGCAGCGACGACCCCCACGCCCACACCCACGCCCTCGCTCACGCCGGCGCCCCTTGGTGCGGCTGCAGTGGCTGCTCCGGCTGCCGATCTGGCCGCCGCTTTGGAGCAGCAACAGTTGCTCCTGGCACAGCAGCAGCTCTTCGGCGGTGCCAGCGACGCTGCCTCCCAGTATATGCAGCAGCTGTTCCGCAGCCTGGTGTTCCAGTCGCAGACGCCGGGCTTCTCCTTCTTCCCGTTCATGGCGCCACCGCCGCCGGAGGTGAGCCAGGAGAAGGTGCCTCTGGTTAGTCCGCCATCGCGGATGAACCCACTGCCCGTGGGCGTGGGCGTTGGTGTGCCAGTGCCGCCCGGCGGACCGGTCAAAATGGTTATCAAAAACGGCGTCCTCATGCCGAAGCAAAAGCAGCGTCGCTACCGCACCGAACGTCCCTTCGCCTGCGAGCACTGCTCCGCCCGGTTCACGCTGCGCTCCAACATGGAGCGACACGTGAAGCAACAGCATCCGCAGTTCTATGCCCAGCGACAGCGCAGCGGTCACCATGTGATGAGGGGCAGGGGCGCCTCGAATGCCGCTGCTGCTGCTGCTGCCGCTGCCGCTGCAGCGGCTGCTATTGGTCCGGCGGGGGGATCGTCCCATCATCATGCCCACGCCCACAGCCACAACCATGGCCATGGACATGGGCATGCTCCGATATCGGAGCAGGTGAAGTACGCCATTTTGGCGCAGCAGCTGAAGGCGCACAAGAACACCGATCTGCTGCAGCAGGCCTTGGCTCACGGCTCCAGCAGTGTGGCAGGCAATCCCCTTCTGCACTTCGGCTACCCACTGGGTCCCGCGCCCGGTGCTCCGCATGTGAGCGGTCAGGGAAACGGCCAGACGCCCATGGCCATGGACGACGATGAGCCCAAGCTGGTCATCGATGAGGATGAGAACGAGCACGACCATGAGGTGGAGCCGGAAGATGTGGATGACTACGAGGACGAGGAAGATGAGGAGGAGGACGAGCCGGAGGATGAGCCGGAGGTGATTCTGGACGAGCCCTATGTTGCCGCGGGCGTCGAGAAGGAGGAGGCGCCGGAGGAGGAGCAGCTTCCCAAGCCCCTGGAGCAGCAAAGCTCGATGTCAAAGTCCAGCCCCAGCCAGAACGAGGCTGCCCAAAAGATGGCGGAGACCATCTTGGAGCAGGCCATCAAGGCTGGCAAGCAGCCATCTGCAACGACTCCGCCGTCCGTCGCGGCATCCTCTGTCCAGGAAGAGAATCCCCCAACTGCCGTAACACCACCGGCTGCCATGCAGGAGCCCAGCAGTAATCCCAGCAGCCTGAAGACCATGATAGCCCAGGCCGAGTCCGTCGGCAAGTCGCTGAAGGAGGTGGCTAGTTCGCCGTTCAAGGACGAATCCCAGGACCTGGTGCCGGTGGCCAAGCTGGTGGACAACGCCACCAGCCAAAACATGAGCTTCAACAGCTACTTCCGACCCAGCGATGTGGCCAATCACATGGAGCAAAGCGACGAGGAGGGCCTGGTGGCCTCCGGCAGTGCCAGCGAGAGCAACAACAGCGGCACGGAGGACGTCACCAGCTCCAGTTCGAGCAGCGAGCCGAAGAAGAAGTCCGCCTACAGCCTGGCCCCGAATCGCGTCTCCTGCCCATACTGCCAGCGCATGTTCCCGTGGAGCAGCTCCCTGCGCCGCCACATCCTCACCCACACCGGTCAGAAGCCCTTCAAGTGCTCCCACTGCCCACTGCTCTTCACCACCAAGAGCAACTGCGATCGCCATCTGCTGCGCAAGCACGGCAACGTCGAGTCCGCCATGTCGGTCTATGTGCCCACCGAGGATGTGAGCGAGCCCATTCCGGTGCCCAAGTCTGTGGAGGAGATCGAGCTGGAGGAGCAGCGTCGCCGCCAGGAGGCGGAGCGGGAAAGGGAGCGCGAACTAGAGCGCGAGCGGGAGCTTGAGCGCGAGCGTGAGCTGGAGCGGGAGCGCGAACTGGAGAAGGAAAAGGAGCACGAACGTCAGCAGCTCATTCATAAGCTGGCCGCCCAGATGAGTGCCGCCGCGGCAGCTGCCGCTGCCGCTGCTGCTGTCTCGTGTGCCTCGCCGGGCAATGGGTCATCTGCCGGAGCCGGAGGCGATCTTTCGGCCGGCGGTGATCTGCCCTACAAGTGCCACCTGTGCGAGGGCTCCTTTGCCGAGCGCCTGCAATGCCTGGAGCACATCAAGCAGACCCATGCCCACGAGTTCGCCCTGCTCCTCGCCAAGGGGGCGATCGAGAATGAGTCGTTGCACTCCGCCGACTCATTGAATCCCCAGCAGCAGTCACAACAACATCAGCACTCGGACGACGAGGCCACCAATGGCCTGGGACGTGGCAAGTATCCGGATTATAGCAACCGAAAGGTGATCTGCGCCTTTTGTGTGCGCCGCTTCTGGTCCACCGAGGATCTTCGGCGCCACATGCGCACCCATTCCGGCGAACGTCCCTTCCAGTGCGACATCTGCCTGCGCAAGTTCACCCTCAAGCACAGCATGCTGCGCCACATGAAGAAGCATAGTGGACGGGCCCATAATGGGGATACGCCCGGCTCCGATTGCTCCGACGATGAGCAGGCGATGAGCAGTCCGCCCGGGACACCAGCCCCCTCTCCCATGCCCCTCCCCTCCAGCACCAACAACAACAACAGCTGCCAGAATAATAATAACAACAACAACAACAATAATAGCAATAATAATAACAATAACAACAACAAGCTGGGCCTGAAGCTGCCCAAGCTGCACGAGCTGCTGGACAAGGCGAACGAGTGGCGAGCGAGCCGGCTGGGCGAGCACAAGGAGAACCTGGGCGAGGCAACGCCCTCGGGAGCGGCGGCAGCTGGTTCGGATCTGATTGGGAACCTTCTGGGGATCAGCGATCAGGGCATACTCAACAAGTTGCTGTCCTCCGCCGATGAGGCGGCCAAGCTCCTGGGCGTGGAAAACAAGTGAGGAGCAAGGAGTCAATATCAAGAGCCATATATCCTGGGGAAGGACGCGAGCGAGACGCAGACGAAGCAGTTTTACCGCCTTACTTATGTATACCAAAGCTTAAATTTCAGTAATGTGTAGTCTTAAAAAAAAAAAACAAAAACGAAACCAAGTTTTTAAACATTCCCATTTTTTTTTTGTAGACCTTGATTTATGCCAACCTTTATTTTAAGCGGTTCAACCAAAACAAACAACTTAAAAGCTAATCAAAATCCTTAGAGACAAACCAATACACATTTTTTTTACCAACTTTTTTTTTCTAGCCTTAATACAAAATATATTTAATTTACAACTACATAGGGTTAAGTAGCTTAAAAACAAAAGACAAAGCATTAAGTACGAAAAATACAACGAACATTTTGCATCATGACAACAAGAACAACAAAGACTTGACACCAAACACAAAAATAGAGAAAAAAACACACGGCTAAAATAGAAAATACAAAATAAAATAAAAATAATATGTACATTAAAAATAGTGGACTTGAGAAACCGCAGCGTGGCTTAAACTTTATAATTTAAGAAAAAGGAAAACACAAGCAAGTGTTTAGTCAAGAGGAAAGACAAGTATTTTGTAAGCTCTCTAGACTCTAGGCCTTTCTTGTTTAGGATCTTATATATTTAACGAAACTCATTCACGGCACCCACAAACCTACCACATATTCCACACACATTAAATATTATAGCTATTTAAATATACAGCATACAAGAGCATAATTACAATTTAGTGGACTTCTTACAGCAATAACCAAAGCATTTCGCGTATGTAGCGTTGTTTAAGCTAAAAATAAACGGAAAATAAACGAAATTAAATTTAACTAACCATTGCATGCCTATACGTACATATAAATATATATTTTATCAAATGTATAAGTAATACTTTTAATGTGAATGCAGGCAGGAGCAGCAACGACAGAAACTACTGAACAAATTAAACTATGTATTTAACGTTTATAAAAATGTACTTAAACGAAAAACAACCCGGCAAAAAGTGTACTTAATTATAGAGACACACGCAACGAAGATGGATTTACAAATTGAATTCAAATAAAAATAACGATGAAAGAACAAGTTAGCTGATGATGATGTCCTTTTCATTTGGGAGACTTCTTATTTCACGATACATTTCGAATATATCTGATTCAGTATTTGCACTTCATATCTGCGAATAACTTTATTTTGATTATTCGCTTTATAAATTTGAAATTCAAATTGCGCAAAGTAGATTTGATTGATCGATGATCGATTGACCATCGATAGTTTTTTTTATCAATATTCGATACCTCGATAGTACAATCGATAGTTTCCCAGCTCTTACCAGGGGTTGTAGTATCAGATGTGATTCGAGTTTCAGGTATGGTTCGAATATTAGGTGTGGATTTTTTAGGGGGAGAGCCAACTTTTCATCCGCCACACTGGCCGACACTGAACTAATAAAGTTGAATTTTTTTTACGTAGCTCCGGGCCGCGTGCTCATCATCGTGCAACAGGAAAGGAAGGGCAAGCGAAGCGAGCATGGATCACCACACATACGCCAAGAGTGGATCCAAAAAATGTAAGCCCGTTACAACAACACGTGGGCGCCGGTCTTCTGATTATATTTCTTTCTTGGTAATTTGGCATTGCAAGGGTCCGCTGAGGAGAAGCGGCAGCTAGTGGTACAGCGCATAGCGGCGGACGAACTGTTCTCCAAGTACTCTCCGAAGCATGCCGAGCCGTGGAAGTGAGTTTCTTGGTTAAGTGCGGATTGGCCACGTGAGGCTTCAATTTGAACCTTATTTTCCTCACAGAAAATTCAAGGACATGGCCAAGATTGGCGACTTCAGCGAGATTGCACTCCGCAAGCAGTGGTTCTCCATGGTGCAGCGCTACCGCGTCCACAAGGCCAACACAGTGTCCGGTACGCTGAATAAGCAGAAGATCGATGACATGAACAAGGAGTGGGAGTTCTTCGGCCTCATACACGCATACATGAACCAGAAAACGGCCGACCTGCACTCGTACGCGCTCAAGGAGCCGAATGTGGAGCCGCCGAGCCACAACCTGGCCATCGCCAGTGTCTACTCCTGCGAGGAACTCTCGCCGCTGATGCTAGGCGTCCTCAACGACCACAACTTTTGCGAGCGCTCACCGCCGAATGCGGGCGACGCCACCGACGACGTGGACGATTCCCCGTCAACACAGCACAACAACAACAATAATAATAACGATGAGCTAAACAGATTGCTGGCCGAAGCAACCGCGCGAAAAGAGGCAGACAGCGGCGGGGAAGATATGTGCCTGCTGGAGGAGATGGAGTGCGGTCCAGTGATGATCGGCGGCGAGGTATCGCTGTCCAACAGTCGCTACAATCAATTTGACGATTCCCCACCGTCGACGCCATCGTCACCGTCAACGCAAAAGCCAAAGCCAATGGCCAAAACAGCAAAGAAAGCCAAACGCAAAGGGCTCAGTGCGAAGGACAAGTATTACAAGTAAGATAAGTCCACTAGCTCTGAAGGCAGAGTACATAATACACTAATCCTAACATTAAATTCCATTACAGACACCGCCTCGGCTATGAGCAGCGCATGGAAAAGCGCCTCATGGGTCTGTGCACCGTAGTGGGACGCCTCCTGCAACAGTTTGCTCCCAACGTGGACGTTCAGCCCTTGCTGGACCTGGGCGACGATAGCGCCATCAAGTCGCCGCCGCCAGACAGTAGTGAGGAATATATAAGCGGAGACGAGGAGGAGGAGGACATATAATAGAGAATCGGAAGCACCTCAGGCTCCAGTGTTGGATACTTTGAGTCGTCTTAGTTCCTAGCTGTTACCCCTACTTATACAAAATGGAATCGTGGTGATTGGGGGTGCTCAACCCTCTATCGCAGCTGTATCTCCCATTCAAAAGACTTGAAAAAAAGCTAGGGTAGGACCACGAGCATGCCGCGTATGCATCTCAGTGATAAATTTACTTACATACTAAATCATTTACAAAGTTAGAATTGTATAAAAAAAAAAAAAAAACAAAAAACAACCAAATATTATAAATATTAAACTGCATTATAGGATATCTTCGTTAAAAATTCAAATTTATTGTCTTCAACTCTCAAATGCCCATCTTATTATATAGAGTCCTACTATTGACCTATTATTGAAGCCATTAGTGTATCGATTATAGTATCCTGTTATTATTTTTTGTTATTCTTAAATTTTTTCGAGCGATATATAACAGTCGGAGCAGATGGATCAGACGAATGTGTATGTGAAATTTTGAAAAAACAAAGAAATCTCGTATATTTTTTTACCTAGTATATATGGTATATATGTATATATACTAGGTAAAAGTGAAAATCCAATGAAATTCGAAAAACAAAAATGTTTTTCAACACCCAATACAAAAAAGAAAACTGCTAATAATTTATATTATTATTATTATGTTTCCTTATAACTGAATGAAAAGTAAATTATTTCATTTCATAAAGTTTTCAATACATCAAATTCATATTTGGAATTATTATTTTTTTCTAACTTAACTTTGTTTTAATTTTATTTGATGGCGACTCCAAAAAAAGTTCTAACTGTCCACAGAATCATCCGATTTCAAAAATACATATATATCGCATTCGTTAAAGTATAAATACGCCGAGATACTCAAGTGGCGTTTCTATTGTTTATTTATTTTTTTTTTTTATAAAAATTAAAAGTCAAAACCTCGAGTTTTGACTAAAAATGTAAGTTACTTTCTTAAATAAAAAGTATAATAAAATTAAAATAAAATCAAAGCCCCACTTGAAAACAGAGAAATGCAATGTTACCACTGAGAAATTCTGCCGTAGTGGATACGGGGCGTCCGGCTACGATCGAAAGTGTGACCAAATCACAATGAAGGAGAAAAGCCACCTTTGCCTCGTGTGTGGTTTTTATCCAGCGACCGGCGACAGTCGCATTGGTCCCGCCTAAAGACACTTTATTTTGGATAGAACTAGACCTAGACTTCCTGGAATTTACCTCAGACTGTAGCTGGTGGCACGCCGCGAAAAATTAAACCGTGGACGCCATGTTCCCCATGCACCCCAAAATGGACGAGCAGCAGGCCCAGGCTTACGCTGCAAACGAGGACGAGGAGGAGAAGCACATCCAGAAAGTGCAGAACGCCTTCCTCTACTACGGGTAAGTGATTGGGGGCCGTTGTTGTTGTTGGTCTACGCACATGCTGAATGAACGGCCCACCGGCTAACGGTGAATGGCGTTCGTTGGCGCTGGAGCCAAGAGTATGGTGGGGGATGCAGGGGAAACAAGAGAAGCGACATGTGCAGACAAGCTGTCAACAAACTCCCGTTTCGTCACTGCCTGTGCGTGCATGTCAGTGATGCCCAGTTCGATCAAATCTGTCCGATTATTTGATATTGGTTTTCTTAATAATAATTTTTATTAAAAAAGCAACTGCTTATATTTTGTGAAATGTAGTAAGAAATCTATTAATACTACACAATTCAAATTTCTTTAATTTTGCAATTCTTTTGGCTTAATATGTTGTGAAATCAATTTAAAGGTTAAAAGGTTTAGCTCTTTTACTATAACCTTTATTTGCAGCCTTTCTTTGGTCGCTCTTTTAATAGATTTCAAAACCCAGAATGCCTTATTTAGCCGCTTTCGAATGGGGTGTCATCGTTGGCGATAAGCCTGCTTGTTGTTGGCCTTAAGTGGCATTGACTGATAATGGAAATCAATTAACTTATGTACTTATCCCCCTATAAGTCCGTATGCCTGCCAGCGTCTGAAGCGTTCCATGGATTACCTGAACAGCCTGTCCGGCGAGGATCAACACATGCTGGCCAAGTACCGGGCGCATTTGGAGTGTGTCCGCACGTGCATTGATCGCAACCAAGCCGTCATCCGAGAGATTCTGCGCGAGCGTGTCCTCTATCCACCAGAGGAGTCCACCGTCAATCCATCGACGGACAGTTGGGAGTTCGACGAGCCGCCGCCAAACGTAAGGCACGGCGATATGGACCAGGTAGGGAAAGTCCTCTGTATAGCGCACATTTTTGGTACATACATACATACATATATATGTATCTTGTCTCCGCAAGGGCATATTATTATCAGTATTTCATTATTACACATGTAAAGTAACATTCTTACCCACAAATTCTTCTGGACTTTCTAACTAAATTTCTACTAACAAAAACTAAGAGTGTTCTTCATTAACTTCTTACTACCCAATTGGCATTCACAAGACCTTTTTCTGTATCTAAATTTTTTTCAAACAAACTCGCACACCCTGTATCTCGTATCTCGCACCCGCCCTAACCCAACAAAATCGTAGACTGATATTCGACTTGAGGATACTGACATTGAACCTCTAAAAATTTTAAAGGCCCAGTCGACGCTAAAGTTGATTGCGCGCGACTGGAGCACCGACGGTGCCCTGGAGCGGGAGCAGTCCTACAAGCCGATCATCGACAGCATAGTGGAGTACTACAAGCCCAGTGATTAGTGAGTAACTACATACGCTTATACTCCCGCCCGATTAATACTCTTGCGTCACGCAGCGAGCTGAAGGAGATCAAGATTCTAGTGCCAGGAGCTGGACTGGGGCGTCTTACATACGAGCTTGCATGTTTGGGGTACTCCTGCGAGGGCAACGAGTTCTCCTACTTCATGCTGATCGCCTCGAACTTTGTGCTAAATCTGTAAGACAACTGATCGAAAACTGAGAAGGAGAAATGCCTCCCACTATCCATTTCCCTCTATCTGCCAACAGGTGTGACTACGAAAACAAATACGCACTGTATCCCTGGGTGCACCAATATGTAAACAACCTGCGACGCGAGGACCAGGTGGCCGCCGTTCGCTTTCCCGACGTCTGTCCGCGCAAGAATCCACCCAAGGGGCACTTTGAAATAGCAGCTGGCGACTTCCTGGAGATCTACAAGACTGCGCACAGCTACAACTGTGTCGCCACGTGCTTCTTTATCGACTGTGCCAATAACGTCATTGATTTCATCCGCACCATTTACAAGTGAGCCGAGGAGGGCATCAGTTATTCCATAAGCTATAATTCAAATATACTTGCCTCTTCCAGGATCTTAGTGCCTGGGGGCATCTGGGTGAATCTCGGACCGCTGCTGTACCACTACAGCGACGTCAGTGGACAGAACAGCATCGAGCCGACGTTCGAGGACCTGTGCATCATCATGGAGAGCGTGGGCTTCGTTATCGAGAAGTCGCGCACGGGCATCCACACCAAGTATGCCCAGAATCCGGCCTCAATGAAGCAGAGCGAGTACCAGAGCCTCTTCTGGGTCTGCCGCAAGCCAGATCCGTTTGAGGAGCAGCGCGGCAAGCGCAAGGCCTCCCGGGAGCCCCATGATCTCATTGTGCGCGAGGATAGCGAGGAGGAAGAGGAGGACGGGCGCAAGAAGGAGGAGGAGCAGCTAAAGCAGCCGATCACGGCCGACGATGAGACTGAAATGGAGCTGCTGGCCCAGCCAACGTGATAGTCATGTAACACCAAACCCCAAGCCCACCTACAGATGCCATCACAGAGCTCGAATCAACACGCCAAGGATTCGCCAATGTAAAATAAACGTTTCGTACATATGTATTCAATATGTATAGACCTTTGTAATGGCATGCTTACACCTCGGTCGCAATTCTCAAAAGTAACACCAGGCTTGACCTGGACCTGGACCTTGCAATTACAGGAGTGGAAACATTTACCAAACAAAGACGTTAAACTTAAATAAATACTTTTTATTTGTTCAACACGTACTGTTTGCATTTGAACATTGAACATCACCTATTTTAGATCGAATTTTGCACAGGAAACTTGCCTTTTATAAAATAGAAACCCCACCCCATCACACGTACTATGCAGTGTTCCACTAGTTTAACTCCAGTCCCCAGATCAGCTCTCTGTGGCGCGCCAGTTATCCGGGCGCCACTGGCGCATGTCCAGGTGACGCAGCTTGAGGTCCGCGTAGATCTTTTCAAAATTCGGCGCTGATTTGCGAGTACCCTCTGCCAGGATTTCGAACCAGATGGCTTCGCTGAGCTCCGTGCTGGTGTGGCACATGGAGACTCGTGTGGATCCAAGAACTCGCTCCCGAAACTGACGCACCAGCTCACCGAAGGGAGCATGGTAAGCGGTAGCTCCGTTAGCGCTCACCTCCGGGAGCAGGAAGGTGTTCACGGCGCGGGCCTCACCGCGACCGCGGTAAATGGGCAGTCCAGTAACTCCATATAGATGAGCCAGTTTCTTGTCCAGTCGTTCTCGCTGTTGCGGCTCGAAGTCCTGGCGCTGGGCACGGGTGCGCACGAACAGCACTTGCGGCAGGTGATCCTGCACGTACCCTTTACAGGGAAATCTCGGTCGCAATCTTAGCGCAGCGTTTATAAGGCGCAACTGCTCAACGGCCAAGCCATCAATGGCCAAGATGAGGATGTGGCACACACTCAAGAGCTGCGCCACTTCGGCCACGGAATGCAGATCCAGATAGTCCGGCTCGTTGGCTACCGTCAGAAGCGGGGGCGTGTCCAGCAATATGTGGCGTTCCCTTGTGATAAAGAACTGCAATGATTCCGTGCGCGGACGCAAGACACTCTTTTGGGCTTCCTTTGGCTTGACCTTGTGTCGCGTGGCAAAGATGCAGCCATCTGCCTCCGGGGAGAGCAGGTGTTGGTAGTAGTCGTAGTCCAGCGATCGCTCGGCGGACAACAGATTAAGCAGAGTGCTCTTGCCCGAACACTGGGCGCCCAACACACCGATGACGGTGAAATCCGTGTTGGTTTTGTGAAACAGCCGGCGGGCATTGACGTTGAAAATGCCATTTGCTAGGAGGAGAGGTGTGGCACGGTTCATGCGTGGCGGATCCTGAAGAGCGGCTGCTGTCCCGGCCGCGGCCGTACCAGCTCCACTAGCCGGGCTGCAGTTGTTCTTATCACGGCCATTTGGTGCAGCGCTGACGAGAGCTGAGCAAACGGATGTGGGCGACGGGACTGACGCTAGATGGCTACCCTTGACAGGGGATCCGCCAGCTGCTGGGCCATTCAAGGCCAGGTAACATTTATCTGCCTGCACGGCATCGCTCGTGCGATTGATGTAGAGGGTTTTAATGGTCGAGGGCGTTCTCTGAGTGCTGTTGGGGCTCGGCTCCGTCTCCCTATCCTTCTCCCTAGTCCTGTCCCGTCCCGTAGTCCGGTCGCGCTCGCGTTCCTTGTCCCTGTCCCGATCCTTGTTTAGGAGAATCTTTGGCTGCACAATCCTAGGATCCTCGCGTCGGGCTATAATGACGGGCGTCAGAACGGCAGAGGATTGGTCATCCCGCTTTTTATTTCGGTTTCGGCGGCGAAAGTCGGCCATTGGCGGCGTTTAGAAAATGTATTTTTATTGTTTTTAGTTCTACACGTTTGGAGAAGCTCCGTCTTCGGTGCGTTTACAACACTGTCGCCAGTGGCGCCGCGCCACGCCAGCAGCTATCAGCAGAGCTGTCGCTTAATGTTGCTAAAAGTAAGCTAAATATTAACTCCTAAAGAATTAGGTTAATAATAACTTGTAGCCCTAAGAAAAATAAATGTAAGAATAAAGGCCGGAACGGTAAATTAAAAGTTCAATCAACACTAGAAATTCTAAAAAAAATAGCTAGAACTAGCTAAAAAGCTAGTTTGGAATAAACCAAATCAGCGGCACTGTCGGCAACTCTTTTCCAACACTGCCTTTGTTTATTTACTTTTATTAATTTATTTTTGCCATGCCGATCGTGGTGGTTACGGGTCTGCCTGCCAGCGGCAAGTCCACACGAAGCCGACAGCTGCGGGATTACTTCTCCAAACGGGGCAAGAAGGTCCATCTGATCAGCGAAAACGAGGCTGTGCCGAAGGCGCTCTTTGGCAAGAACCTGCACGCAAGCGACTCCCAAAAGGAAAAGGTGGTGCGCAGTGATCTCAAGTCGGAGGCTTCGCGTCACACCAACAGGGAGGATCTGGTCATCCTAGACGCCGGCAATTACATTAAGGGTGAGTCGATGTCTGGAAATCCTGGCCTAAAGCAATCTTCTAAGATCCAACGACGGAAATCCCATCTCAGGTTATCGCTATGAGCTCTACTGCGCCACCAAGGCTGCCAGGACCACACAGTGCACGCTGTTTTGCTGCATTCCCCAGGAGCAGGCCTGGACGTTCAACGCCCTGAGGACTGCGCCGGACGAGGTGCCACAGGAAACGGAAGCCGAGGCAACCGGACAGACGCTGGACAATTCGAATGTGCCGTACACCCGCGAGATCTTTGATGCCCTGTGTATGCGTTACGAGGAGCCACAGAGCAACAACCGCTGGGACAGCCCCCTGGTGGTGGTTCTGCCAGAGGACACGCTCGACTTCGAGGCGATCTACAAGGCTCTGTATGAGACGCAGCCCCTGCCACCCAACCTGAGTACCCAGAATGTAAGCGTTTCTAGGCTCCGACACCCTTACCGTGGCACCGTACATTGAATACCCGCTTCTTTCAGGCCCCTTTGGGAGCCACCAACTACCTATTCGAGCTGGACAACATCATGCAGTCAATCATCAAAGAGATTCTCGGCGCCGTCAAGATCAAGGCCTTTGGCCAGCTTCGTGTCCCGGGTAGCAGCACTCCCGTAAAGGTGACCACATCGATGAACGCCCTTCAGCTGAACCGACTCCGCCAGAAGTTCATAACGAGCACGTGTCGCGCAAGCCAGACAGCGCCTACGCCGGTGGAGCAGGTGCCGCAGCTGTTTGTCCAGTTCATCAATGCCAATACGATTGGCTGCTAGGCCTGTGATTTCAATAGAAAAAGGTTTTACAGCGAAATGGAATGACTCAAGCAATGGCAGAATAAAACCCCTTTAAAAAAAAAAAACCGTTAAACCGTTTAATTATCGAATAGTTATCGTGGCGCCGCTGAACAGAACAGCTGATCGCCGTAGTGTGACCAGGCACACCAATTGAAACTTTCCGGTGCAACGGGATTTCTCGTATAATTCCAGAAAAAAATTAAACCAAAAGAAAATAAAGAAAAATAATATATTAGAACAACCAATTGGAGTGACGCTGGGGAGGATCGGGCGAGAACGCCAGCTTAGCGCCACGCTTCCAGCAACTCACCCCGCCACAGCCATATAAAATGATTTGCCGACTTTGCCTGGATGACGCGGTGCACAGCATCCCGATCTTCGACCAGGAGGAGGCCGACGACCAGCCGCCGCCCTCCAACCTGGCGGAACTGATTGAGAAGCACTTGCAGTTGGTCGTAAGTCGTGGCTAGCATAACCATTTTAGATTTCCGGCTCCGCTCCAATTTGGTTATCTTTATGTGCCTCCACAGCTGCAGCCGAACGACGCGGTGTCCAGATGCCTGTGCACCCAGTGCTGGCAGCAATTGGCCGACTTTGAGCAGTTCTGCACCATGGTGATGAAGAAGCAGCTGGGGCTTCAGCACCTCAAGCTGGAGCCCTTCTCCGACGACGACGGAGAGGCCGAGGACACGGATACAAAGGCGCACATCCTTTGCGAGCCGGAAATCGATGTGAGTCCCTCGGCGGCGGAAAACGAGGAGTACAACGAGATCGATGTGGACGCCACCTGCAATAGTATCATCAGTGGACGGACGACAACGCGGCGAAAGGCACGGCTTCCGTCGCCCATCAGACGCAGCATGCGTCCTCGGGCATTGCCAAAACCCAGGGTCGTGAAGACCAAGGCCAAGACGAAACACCAGCTAAACGATGCGGACGAGGATGAGGACGCGGATGGCGACGGCGATGGCGAGGGGGATCCCGAGAGCCGGAGCAGCCACAGCCGCGAAATGGACAGTTACATAGCGGTGCACGGACGCCTGGAGTGCTGTCTGTGCGGCGGAGACGAGGACCAGTTTCAAAACTTTGCCGAGATGAAACGGCACTTCCGCAACCAGCATCAGTCCGCCGGCTACGTGGTGTGTTGCCAGCGGCGCTACAAGAAGCGCGCGCTCTACGTCGACCACCTGCGCATGCACAACGATCCGGACTACTTCAGGTGGGGGATTACCTTCGCTATACGCTATATTGCAACCCAAGGGCTTTCCTGATGCTAATCCATCCGTTGCAGGTGCAAGATCTGCGCAAAGCAGCTGGTCAGCCGGATCAGCTACGACGTGCACATGCTACGCTTCCACTCCAACGAGGACGAGCTGAGCTTCGCCTGCGACCAGTGCTCCAAGCGGTTTTCCAAGCAGTTTCTGCTCACCATTCACTCGCGGGTGCACCAGCAGGAGCGAAAGGAGCAGTGCAAGCACTGCGACAGATCGTGAGTAGCATACACATGAGTAGCAGCGGCAGAGCTCACCCATGTCCATCCCACAGCTTCCGCACTGCCGTGGACCTGCGACTGCACATGAGACGCACCCATGATCCCGCCTTCGTGCCCTTCATCTGCGACTCGTGCGGCGCCAAGTTCAAGACGAAGCAGAACCTGCTGGTGCACAAGCGCACCGTGCACCGCGAGGGCTCCCAGCTGCCGGAGGTGCAGTGCCAGGAGTGCCAGGTGTGGCTGTCCGACGAGAACAGCCTGCGCAAGCACATGTACATGCATCTGGACGCCACCTCGCTGCGCCAGTGGAAGTGCGAGCAGTGTGGCCTGGAGAAGGGCTCGCGGGCGAAGCTGGCGGCCCACATCCGGTACCACCATCCGAAGGAGTACCACAAGTGCTCGCACTGTGGCAAGGAGTTCAAGAGCAGCCGCGGTCTCGAGGAGCACACTGCAACGCATACCGGCCAGGATCTGTACGAGTGCGCCTTCTGCGAGCGCACCTTCAAAAATTCTGGGAACATGCACAAGCACCGTCGCCAGATGCACGCCGCCCAGGTGGCCGCCCTGCAGCAGCAGAGGAAAGTGCGTCCCAGCAAGCGGAAGGACAAGGGCGAACTGATGCTGGGCGTCCTGGCCGCGGGCGGCAAGGACATGCTTGACCCTGCAATGGGCGCCAACGACCTAAACCTGAATATGAACATGAACGACTGATCTAATCCAAGCAGACAGGAAATGGAATAAACATCAATTAAAAGTTACCTGCAAACGGGGTTTTTTTATATTAGTTTTATATATTTATTTATTTCCTGCTTCCAGAATCTACATATGATTCTCCGCCTATAGAAATTTGTATTAGAACTTTTGTATAAAACTTAACTCACCGCTCCAGTAAGCAGGATACTCAAGATAGACCAACACAACGACAAGCTAAAAAAGAAACATAACTATGGCGCCCCCGTCCAGTATTCTCAAAATGCTGCGCAGCCTAGGAACGGCGCGAGTCCACAAAGTTATCCGCTACAACGGTCCTTCGCGCCGTACAAAATTCACATCGCCTCTGAACCCTCCTCCTCCGCTCCCAACAACTCGCAGCTGTAGCTCAAGCCGCAGTGAGTTTTCAACGATTCCGCATTGTGCCATCAAGGCCTCTTCGCATCCGCAGCCTTCTCCATCCTAAACAGGGTCGGGAGACGCCACCACCGCTGCAACAGGAGCAGCATATGGATCGAAAGAGACAAATACCAATGGCCAACTATTGTCCAAGCTGTATCCACAGACCTCGCCGGAGCAGGAGCGCAAGAGGCGCGAAGAGGAGGAGGAGGAAGAGGAGAATGAGCGCGCCTGGCAGCTCATGAAGCTGGGGTAGGTCGTGAGCCATTATAGGGCAGGGTATTAAACCATTTTCCCACTGGCAGCTTCACAGTCTTCCAATCTACTAGTTCAGGGAGAATCAGCGCAAGCTGGCCGAGCAAATGGAGCAGGCGCAACGCATCGAACAGACCAAGTCCAAGCCAATGGTATACGTTTATCTTACATATATTTAAACCTAAAAAATTTAAAAGAAATTATAACAAAAAAATTAATTTCTTTTACACTGCAAATAGACAAAAAAAAAAAGTGCGTTAAAAAAATCAAAGTTGCGCTAAATTTGTATTTTCAATATTTTCAAAATATCTCAGTCTATTCCGTGTCCGCATTCATTCAAATCATAATTGAATATATGTATATTTTTTAAATTGACTTTTCCAGTTCGCCAGAATCGTGTTTACCATGGCAGTCCCTTTTTTTCCAGTGTAGTACTTCCGCTCCTGTATCTCGAAAATTTGGCAATATTTCGACATACAAACAATTTTGAAAAATACTTTATACTTTACTTAATTGCCGAGTCTTAAGCGCTTTTCATGAACAATTTTCCAAAGACGGTCCAAAAAAAAGGGGTTCACATGGGTCAGATGGTTCAAGATGACTCTAATGTCTTTGGTTCAACCCTTTGCTTGCATGTTTCTATCTCTCTTTAAATCAGTTAAAATGCCGAGTTCTTGCAATTAGTAAATGGTAATAAACAATATTGCTGCAACAATATGCTTTTCACAAATCATTAAAGAGACAATCGTTTCAAATTAAAAATTATTTAAATTTTAAAACATTTTAAACAACTTTGGCTCGGTAACATCGTAAAAGTCATTGATCAGACAGAATCATCCGTATTATACATATGTACATATGCAGTTTACCGATTGAAACCCCCTAATAAATGAAAACAGGCACTTTGTAGTGTAGTGTAAAACAGTACTTGTACATAGTACAGTGTCATATTAATTATTTGATTCTCAAGCGCGCTCTGTATAAAATATATAAACAATATATTTATATATATAATGTACGTGCAATTATTATCATAATGTCCTAAGGCTAGTCTTAGACTTCTAGAACAGCATCCTCAGCCCCATAAGCATAATAGCCCCTCAGAGCACCACAACAACTTTGGAGGTGGAAATCGGTACTTCAGGTACATCGGGCAAATGAAGAGTGGCTACTCCTGCACGGCCACTGACGCCGCTGGATGCCGCTGCTGCTTTTCTGCGATTATCAATGGCCAGCGGCGTGATCGCGGTCACGGGCGTCTCCTTGTTGTGGACTCTCAAATGGCTGTTGAGACGCTTCTTGGTTGGAAAGGCCTTTGTGCAGATGTCACACTTGAAGGGCTTTTCGCCCGAGTGCAGGCGCACATGGGCATTGAGGTTGCTGGTAAAGGTGAAGGCCCGGCCGCAGATGGGGCATTTGTGCGGCTTTTCGCCGGAGTGCACCAGCATGTGCTTCTTGTAGCCGGACTTCTGCGAGAGGCCAACGCCGCAGATCTCGCAGGTGAAGGCCTTTTCGCCGGTGTGGCTTATTTTGTGTTGGCGCAGCGAGGAGGAATCGTAGTAGGCCTTGTCGCACAGATCACAGGCAAATGGGCGCTCGCCCGTGTGCGTCAGCTTGTGGCGGCGCAGGTGATCCAGGGCCGCATAGCCCCGCCCGCATTGGTCGCAGCTGTAGCGCTTCTCCTCGGCATGGGTCCGCTTGTGCGCCGCCAGACTCGACGTTGTGCGGTAGAAGCGCGCACAGATGTTGCACTGGTGCGGCTTGACGTTGGTATGGGTCAGCATGTGCTCCTTGTAGTTGCGCAGGTGCTTCAGCCGCTTACCGCACTCCTCGCACTCGAAGTGCTTCTCGACCACATGGGAGCGCATGTGCTGGTTGAGGCGGCACTGCTGGCGAAACGGCTTTTGGCAAATGTGGCATATGAACGGCATGACCTCTCCCGTGGTTATCTGCGTAGAGTCCAATGACTCCTCCAGGAAGTCCTCCTCGGTGCAGACATCGTCCGTTTCGGCCAGCTGTGTGGAATGTATAAGTAATTTGTGACAAATGTGATCTCCAAGTGAGAATGTTCGAAGGTCCACCTACCAAATGCTCCTCGTGCTCCTCCTCGTCCATTTCGAGGGTCTCCTCGCCAATGACCTCGTCTATGGCCCCCTCGGCGGGTATCACAATCATCTGTCCTTCGATGATCTCGCCATGGGCGCCCGATTCGTCCATGACTTCGATCTCGTCCTCCTCGGCAACCAATGCTTCGTATTCGTTCTTAATCGTCACATATTCCACTTCGGCGGGCTGGAACTCATGGACACCCTCCATGGTGATGTGCTCCTCATCAGCGCTACCCTCTAGTGTGTGCTGCTGCCCCTCCTCGTCATCCGGGAGCACCTCCTCCTCATCCTGCTCGGCCACTTCCTCGATGACGAACTCTTCCGCGACGCCGCTGGCGATCTCCACCATTTCCAGCTTCCCGTGTCCATGCTCCTGTTCTGTTTCACCATCTTGCTCCGAGACCTGGACAAAAGGTATGAGGGACAAAGAAAATCCATTATTGTCTCGATGAAATAAATAATAAATCAATCTCTATTTACAGTGCCTGGCTCCTGCTCCTCGTTGAGCATCTCAATCATCACGTACTCCTCGTTGGGATCGCCACACCGCTGCTGCTGAGGTCGCTGTTGATGACGCTGCTGCTGCTGTGCCTGGTGATGGCTGGTTCCATGGGCCTCGTCCAGACCGATGCGCAGCAGCTCGTCGGAGTCAATCACCATGCGCTTAAAGTTGAAAGCCTGCTCCAGCAGCTGCAGGCAGTTGAGGCAGATGTGCTGGGGCATTGCGGCGCCGTCCTGCGGCTCGAAGGACAGGCCGGAGCAGTACATAAGCATTCGGGCCAGAGTGGTGCTGCCCTCCGCGCCCAGCTCGATCTCCTCCTGCAGCGGCTTGTGCTGCTTGCAGGCACGCGTACATGTCCTGCAGTTGAGCACCACCACCGCACTGGCGCCTCCGCCCGACTTGCCGCTCATCATTCTCCGGGATATTTGGGGTCTGGCCGCAATTAGAGGATACTCTGCTCGAAGGGCGCCGGCGTATTTGAAGTACAGCTTCTGTTTTCTTCTTGTTTTTGACAGAATTTTGCTTTTCCATTTAGGGATGTGCAAAATATCTATCGAAATATCGTTAGGAAGCACCGATAAAAAAAACTCATAAAAAAAGGTGGCGGTGCCGCTTGAATTTTTCTTTTTATACATTTAATCCGTGGATCCGTATACGACTCAATAAATTAAATCAATAAAGTAATTTAATATAATTTTTTAGATTAAATCGATTCTGAAAATGTATATCGATATATCGCATATTTAAATCGATTAATTGCTTACTGATTTTAAGAGTGACCAACTGCGAAAGAGGGATATTTTCGCGCGAATTTCAAAAGGTCTTGTAATAAGTTTAATTTTAATTTTATTTAATTGTGAATTTAAAGAACAAAAAAACAAGATTGTTTCGTAAAAAATTTGAAAAATTTGTAATATTGGAGGTTTGCAATTAAATATCCTTTACCATTAAATAAAGAAGGCTTTGAGTTTCTGGTTTAACTGAATTTAATAGTGCACAAATTAGTAGTATTTAGTAGGTAGTCGCATTAATATATAATATTATAAACTTAAGCTAAGCTTTTGTTGCGGGTCGCGTGTTCCCACTGTCAGCGGCTTCGGCTCCAACTATTTTGTCAGTTCTCTCGGGAATTCATTCGACTTTCTCTGGATAAATAAATTAACTACAAAACAGCGACAGGGAGCGGTCCAGCAGCAGCAGCAGCACATCTATGCTAGGATATACAGGACTATAGTTCCCATACATATGCGTAAATTGTGTTTTCAGTCTTTGATTTTAAACTTAATGGGTTAAATGTACGCTGACAAATAGTTATGAAAAAAAAAAAAAAAAAAAAAATAGGGTCAGAAGAACTAGGAAGCTTAGCCTAGAATTTTTTTTTTTTTGGGATTAATTGCGCGATGCGGGGATATGGAAATGTCCTTGAATTGGGGCCCAGCCCCAAACCCCGTGTGAAAACCGATCAGGGCTTGCTGTCGTCGTTGTCGTCGTGGTCCCTTTCCCCATCTAGGCCAGAAACGGCGACTTCCGCTTCCGCCTCCGCCTCCATGGCGGCCTGCATTTCCACAAAGATGTCGATGAGATTGTTAATCCCGATGAGATAGCCGTCCTCGTGATTGCCCACTTTCCAGGCGGAGTAGTGATCGATGCGCAGCTGCGGCGGTAGCTCCACCGTCTTGGCAAAGTCAATCAGCCAGATGCTGGCATGACTCTGGTCGTGGACGAAGAGCAGCGAGCTGCCGATGACCTCGTGGCTCTGAAAGAACTCCGAGACCGCCAAGGTGGCACGGATGGCGCGCAGACGTTGAATATAGCGGGGCTGTTTAATAAATTAATAAACAAAGTAAAAAACAATCAAGATTTAATAACTTTAAATTGGCAATGGCGGTAGGGATTCATTGAGATATTCTTTCTGCCTTTTTTACCACCCAATCCTTGGATAATTCATGAGATAATGACCTTCTTATGGCATGAACTCGAACTGAAATCGATTTAATACGCACCAGAATATGGGGATGACCGTTAAGGAACTCGACAAAGGCCAACTTGATTTGTTCGCGTGACTTGGTCGTTTTGAAATCTTTGGAACTGGTGCCATCGCTCTTCTTGATGCCCTGCGAATGATATAAATATTTCATGCAATTATACGATTTTCTCTGCAATCTACAATTTTCCACTAATAAAAACGCTAATTGGGAATTTCCTGCAAAGAATAGAAAGGATAAGGACCTTGGCATTCCAATTTGAGGAAGCTTCAATGTATATTTCAAGAGCTCAAGGAAATTTACCTCGATGCGGAAGCCCAGCGTCGCTGTGCTGGAGATGGTCTCCCGCCAGACCATGTAGCGCGGCTTGGTCACCGCCTTGGCGGCATGCTCCTCGGCGGTGGGGGCATGGGCATCGATCTGGATCATCTTGTCGTACATGTCCTTGCGCAGTTTTGGCTTCTCCTTGGCCTTGGACAGCTCCTCCTCGAGGTAGGTGCGCACGCCCACCTTGCAGTCCATTACGCAGGGCTGCACAAAGTCGCTTAGTAGGTCCTGCAGTTGGAGATAAACTGCCAGAGAATGCCAAGGATTAGTGGGATCCCCGGGAAACCATTGTATGCAATACTCACGTTCGCCATCTTCGCTGGTCACTTGACCCTTGTAGACGGGCACATAGGGCCTGAGGAGGTCCTGCATGAGGATTTGGAAGCACTCCTCCTCCTTGGGACAAAGCTTCTTGAGCACGGTACCCGGCTCGGGACCCGCCTTGAAGTTGCCCTGGTGTCCGGCCAGCTGGACCCATGGATAGCGCTGCTTCTTGTACGTCTGGAAGAAGGGCGTCCACTGGACAATGTTGCGGATCTTTCGCCAGCCGGAGCTCTACAAAGATTCAAGATACAACAGGGATTAATTTCAGGAACACAGATCCTATGTAGTTAATTAATACATTTATTATTATTTTGCAGTAACAATTGCTCGAATTTTCCCTAAAAATAACTCGCACTACCCGCTGGAATTGAATTAAAGCTGAACGCAGACTTTTAATTAACATTCATTTAAGTTAATCATCGCAAATTGCTGGCCTGTTGCTCTGTGATTTGATTATTTACGCTATTTTGTATACGCAAGAGCCCGGCGAATTGTTTACAACCCATCCGGCGAGTTTCCTTTCCCCTTAAATTGTGTTCAAGTTCAATTGAAGATGGAACAGATGGGCAAATCCATTTTATCTTGATTTTAAAGATACGACTTGGAAAAAGGCAAAGCAACCTAATTACCCACTTATTAATCTGTCTAGCTTAAGGGTTTTTAGGGCACAATGCAGCTGACAGCTGTCTTTTCAGCCGAGTTGTCATCACCTAATCTTAAGTCAGCCAGACTGATAAATCAGGTGAGTGCCGGACGTATTTTATCACTCTGATCTGGGGTTCAACGAAAAACTGTAGTACAGATATAATTTCAGACTGGTGTTTACTACATGTTTCATAATAATACAATACAAATACTGTAGGCCTAGGAAGAAAACGAAATAAATAAGAAATCGGTGAGAGTTATCCTAGGAAAATAAACACACTATCTAGGATCTGCTCCTTATAACAAGGATTATAAAAAGTAAAGGTTAATTTGTATCTATCATCAATCTAATAATGCAGAACAATTTTTCAAATGGTACAAAGCAAAATTTGTATGGGGCATACATGTCGTATGAGTAATATAGAACTTATGAGAATATTACTAAAACGACAGGTAGGCCCAAGCGCAATATAGTTCCCGCGACCAACATTATGTTGAATCGATATACATACTTATATGTAACTAACCTAACTTAAGGAACTAAAGATGTCTATATAAAAAAAATCCACCCTGAAGCCTTAGTAGCTATGACTAGCTTTAGTTTCTTAACTTTAAGCAAACAGAATGTAAAATAAATATAAAAACATTTCCTAGAACCAATCGTACCTTCTTGCTGCTGCTGCCCGATGCAGCCTGAGAGGAGGAACCCGATCCCGATGCTGACCCCGCCGCCGAAGTGGACACATCCGAGTCCCATTCGGAGCTGAGATCATCGCTGCTGGCATAGCCATAATCCCTGGGCATCGGTACCTCCAGCAGCGACTTGGAGTACTGGATATAGCCGGGACAGAGGCTCTGTCCCAGCGGTGAATGCGAGCGCCGCGGCCCCAGAAGAGTCGGTGGGGATCCCGGCGAGCTCAAGGGCAGGGAGTGCTGTTGCGACAGCTTCCGGCCAAGGCCCAGACGGAGGCCACAGTTATGGGTGGCCACATGGTCGCCGGAGTTGGCCGTTATGCTAATGGTGGGCATCGATAGCTTCTTCTCCGCCCGCTGCCGGATGCCGTGGGCCTGGGCAAACGCCAGGCTGCACTTCCTGGGCTGCATATTGTTGCCAGATAGCTTGCGTCGGAATATCTTCCTAACGGTGCCCGGGCCGCTGGAATTGGTAGCTGCATTTTCGGCTTCCGGCTGACCCTTCTGGGTTTCCGCCTCACTGCCGGCATCCTCGCTGTCCGCCGAGGTGGGTTTCCGCTCGATATCGCTGTCCTCATCATCCTCAACGTCCTCATCGTCGTCGTCGTCGTCGTCGTCAAACTTCAGCTTGGCGATCTCCTCGGGCGGCACGTCAGGAAAGTGGAGCAGCTTCACGGTCACTTTCTTGCCAGCCTCGTTGTAGTAGACCTCCTTGGCGCTCATCCTGTCAAAGTCCTCGTAGATGCGGACCTGCGGCGAGGGTGGCGGCGTTGGCGGCGTCACAGAGCCCTTTCCCTTGCCGTGGCCGTTGCCGTTGCCGTTGAGAGTGATGCCAGCGGGTCGCTGGGGCGGTGGCTTCTGCTTTTGATTTGAATTTGGATTCGGATTGGGACTCGAACTCGGATTCTGTGGCTGGCTGAGGGCGCACACGGACATCTTACATGGAATCTGGCCCCGCGGCACTCGGCTCAGTGCATCCGGGGAGCGGTCTCGCGTCGAACTGATGGCGAATGTAACTAAGTCTGCAGCTGGGAAACACAAATGGATATGGAGTTGAAGGAGGAGATAGCGGAGGAAGTCGCAGACGGAGAAGGAATCAGAGACGGAGCTGACGCTGCATTTTGATTTTTGCGCACATTTGCGAGCCCGTTCGCGCCTAAAACCACACCAGTCTCCTCCTCTGTCCTTCTCCATCCTATTGGGTCTCCCTCTGCCACTGACAGGCCCGAGTTGAGTGATCATAACGAGCGGTTGGATCTCCTCCTACGAGCTGATGGGACTCCCGGGCAGCCGAATACTCTTTCAAGGTAATTTTCAACTTCTGTTATTTAATAATTAAGTTTTTGGTAACTTAACCTAATTCGAAATCAATTTTAAGTTTATAATGTGTCCCTAGTTGTGTTATGAAGGATAATTAAGTATAGTTATGATTACATCATTTGAAATGCTTGATGCTTGATGTGTTATGTCAAGACCCGGCCTGGGAGGTCGTGAGGGCGGTGCAACTTCTATTATAACAATTTGTCGTGACAAGTGATAATTATAATCTTAAATGATATGCATGAATGTCACTTCTTTAATTTAAAAAGCATTAAAGTGTTGCATTTGTAAAGGTTTCAATTTGGTAGTTACAATATTATTTATTTAAAAGCTCATATTAAGTCAAAGAGATATGCCAGAGAGCGAGACAGAGAGAGAGAGATTTCCGAAGTACCTAGGAAGCTTTAACATTAAAATATCTACTTTCCTTACTTTAATATTTAATCAGTTTTGAATTTAATTTAGATATATATTATCCCAAATATATATGTTCCATTCTTCAATCATTTTTCATATCATTCAATCAATTTTTCCCAGAGCTTTCAAATGTAACATTAGACCTATTCTTTTAGAGGTCCTGAAGGGTTTTATTATTAAAAGAACTATCTTTAAAATTCGGTATATTCCCCTAGAAATCTTGGGGGATATTTCTATATATAGAATTTAACATCTGGTTTAGCAGCTCAAAATACTGTTTATTCTATCTCTCAAGTTCTGAGACGTTTTAATATTAATATTATTAATATTAGCTTTAACATCGGGTTTAACATTTTGTTTATTTCCCTAAAGTTCTTCGAGAAATCTTCCATCAAATAGTTAAACTTTAAGTTATTGTTCTATTTGTTTAAACTACCTAATTTCCATACAGTTTTTGGATAGATCATCTAGCAAAGAGATAAGCCCGAACACCTGCTTTGGATGGTGATGATACCCTCGATCAGGGTATTATCGCTTCGTTGCTGCTGGGGCCTTTGGCCTTTCGGCTGCTACTGCTTTTGGTTGCACTGCTACAGCTCGCTGTAATGCGCACACATCAATCAAAATTGATTAAATTGAATACATGTGTATGTGCCATGTAACACACGGCACACGAACGGCGGACGGCGGACGGGACTAAGTAGGCATTGTCGGAGCGTGTTGGCATCTGGGTAGCACCGCAGCTCCATCTGCGGCATCTCAAGCCGGAGACGGACAGAGATGGTGGCCACCACCGCAATACCGAAAACCGCCCAGAGTCGGGCAGCCAAGGCGATCCATCGGATCCAAGCCAATCCAACCCGCGCCGAGCCAATGCGAACAGAAACCAAAATCGAACAGCACATTATGATAATAATGGAAATGGCAGCGAGCGCGGCTATCCAGTTACGCCACTGCACAAAGCCGATTGTTGTACATATGTATGTATGTATGTACATACACCAGCCAGCCACTATATAGGTATATCTACAGCCATATTATATACCAACTGAAATTTCTTTATAACATTTGACGTCATTAGCAAACGTTGACGGCGTTGCCCAGCAAGGCGATAACGAAGCAACAGCAGCAACCACGCGACAGCCCACGGAAACCTTGGAGAACATCGGTTCTTCCACATCTACAATAGATCTTACAGTTACAGGCAGTTAATGCCTAGCATCGGATTATACCATTTTACGATTTCTAGGGAGTGCATTGTGGTGCTCTTCTCCACCTATGTATGTACTTTAGATCGGACGGTTCAGTTAGGATCCAGTGTTATAGGGGAGATTTTACAGCCAAGCTCAATATCGTTTCCAGGACATCAAATAATGTTCTAAATCTTATGATGGTAAACAAAGGATTTGCAAGATTCCAAGTTCTTTTTAAGAATTTTAGTTCTAAACTAACCATAGATACTGTCAAGTGGGATCAAATCTTTCAAATGATCTATAGAGTTAACCACTTTATAGGGTTGCTGTAAGCCTAGGTTTAGATATAGTTAAGAGCATTTTGTTTATGTATACATATATGCTCTATGTACCATTCTTTCTACTTAGATAAATGAATTGATTTTGTATATAAATTAAAACGCAGCATATTATATCTATCGATTACATTTAATTTTACATTTTGGTAGACCTATATCTATAGCTTTGGCTGTCTTCTATTATCTATTCATTATATTCCCAATCTAAGTAGCTATGTAGCTAGGGCTTGGCTTCGTCGACCGATCCGTCCTTAAATACAAATTTGCTGTATTCGTTATCTAATAATAACAATTGTACAATCTTCGATGCCGTCAACACTAGCCACAACTACAACAATGGTGATAACGACTAGATATACTGCGGCATGTACTGTGCATATAGATATAGTGAGTGTGTGTGTGAGTTTTACTTATAACATACGTAATAATTGGCAACCAATCCCCTCTGAAATCCCCCTAGAAATCCCCCAAAACTCACAACGCCACCCACTCTCCATAATGGACACTACGCGCTTAATGCCCGCCATTCACATTCGCATAACAATTTCTCTCAGTATTTCTTTTTTTTTTTGTTTTGTTTTTTTTTTTAACTGCCAAAAGCTTAAAATTAATAAAGTAAACAGAGTTTGTTGTCAAGCCCCTGTTGCCCCCATGCCCGTGTCCGTTCCCCACTGCCATCTTTCAACAGCCTCTGTTTCTCTGAATGCCAGTTTTTGTTTCTCTGATTGCACTGAAAACAATTTGTAATGTTCCTTTCTGTTATCATCATCAATATTCATTCAACTTGAATGCGAAGAATATATTAATCAGTAGCGAGAACCAGGCCAATATTGATTTTATCTTCTTAATACATAGATACATCTTAAATACTTATCGATTACTATCAATAAACAAACACCAAATGGATGTTTTCTCTGTTTTTGTTTTTATAAAAACTTCCGAGAATGCAATTTTATTTGTAAAGTATATAGATTTTTAATCTACATAAAAAAAAATATATATATTTTAGGTTTAGAGATCTCAAAATAATTGAGAACATACATATATCTTTAATGGTTATCGATGGACTTCGATTTCTTTTAATATCGATTAAAACTTAATTTGAAAATTTAAAACAAATTGAATATAGATCTAGAATCTGCATTTCACAATTTTCTTCTTTTATCTTAAATCAAGAGTTCTAAAAAAATATTAAATTATTAAGTGAGGTTAGTCGATTGACGACGATTCTTTTGATATCAATCGAACCAAACCAGAAATCGTCTATCTAGATCCTACATATATCCCACAAATCTTAGTGACTATTTTATATTTCATATACTTTAAAATATATTTCCGTAAGGCAAGCCACATAATGTTAAAAAATTAAAAAAAAAATGTTTTAATTTCGTAAGTAAATCTTTTTTTTCCATCAATATTTTAAGATCTCTCTTCATATAAAATAATTCTATATTGCGATCCTAATATACATTGTAATTTTTTGCCGTGTACCATTGACGCACAGAATGGATTTTGGCTTTGGTTTTGGATGTGTTTTTTGGGACCCTCGAGAGGTGGATGTGAATGTGAATGGGGATGGAATTGTGGGTGGCTTTTTGGGGCGGATGTTATCGAAACGATCAAGCGCCAATTAAGGCGGCGTTCAGTTCCATTTTCAGCAACTTAATGAGCCTCAATTGCCGAATTTGCTGTTCGTACGCAAATGCTGCTGGTGCTTTTGATGCCTGTTCAATTATATAATTCACCTTTCGGTGAGGAGGTGGGCAGTGGGTGGTGGTGGGTGGTATGTGGAGGTTGCTCCCAAATTGCGTAGCACCTTATTTAGGGCTGCGAACAAGAGGGGAGGGGGGGTTCCAGAAGGGGTTCAAAGAGGGGTTCATTCTCATTGACGTCGTCGTTTATTGTTGCTGCCGCTGGCGTGTAAATGTTTACATAAACCTGAGCACTCGGATTTTCGGTGCAAAAGTCAGTTCTCTATTTCCCTCACCTAGTATAAGAGTTGCCCCTTTTCTCTTTGGGTCCCTCCCTCTCTCCCTCCCTCTCTCTCTCGATCTCTCTCTCTCTCTCTCTCTCTCTCTGTAGATCGCACTATCTCTTTCCACGGTGGGAGAATTTGGCGCGTGCTTTAATTAACACACTTTTACAACAGCAACAGCATACTGCAGATTCCAGAGAGCTGCCACTGGAGACTTGTAATTAATTAATTGTAAATATAAATAACAAATTCGTTTAACACCAAACCGTGTTATTTTTCTTAGTTAAATGCATCAAATAAAATTAAGCAACGCGCTAAGGAAAAGCACATACAAAATTCACTTTGAAAATGTAAGGGAAAAGTTGAATACAAATGTTTTATAATGTATAATAAGAAACGGAATTTAAGAGTTTAAATTGTATAATAAAATAAATAAAAAAAAAAACACACATTTAAAAGTTCTTTCTATTGCTTTTTTGGGATAAACTTCAAAGAAAAACTTACCAACAAGCAGACAAAAAAATTAATTTAATTATAAAATTGTGGCCTTGTGGTTTTTTGAAGAAAAATAAACTAAAGTACAACTTTGTTTGCTAAAAATGAATAAATAAAAACATTTAAATCACGCAACAAGGCCTAATTATATATACATATATTTTAAATATATATTTTTTAGGGTTCTTCCTTGAAACACGCTTCACAGTCCAAGTAAATCTTCAATTAAGAATTAATTGATCAGTCACACACACACACACACACACATATATATAGCAGTAATTAACATTTAATTAAGAATAATTAAACGCCTTTGGTATCTTTAATTAATAATTATATTAGCCACACGCAAACGCAGCGGTGAAATTTCAATTTATCAAAAATGTAACGAAACGAAAAAAAAAAAGGAAAATTAAACAAAAAATGCCGAAAATATGATAAACAGCAGCTCTGTTTAATAATATTTTGTTGATGCCCTGGCATTGGGTTTGGCGCCCGGAGAGATTCCACCAGCTCGCACTGCTCGCAGCGCTTGGAGAGCGCACAATACCGATGGAAATACCACTAAATAATAACAATAACAATAACAATGATATAGTAGCAACAATAACAAACGGCAGACGGGCAGGGAGCAGACGCGACGAGAGACCCCGGGAGCCAGCCGCACGCGATCGCAGCAAAAGCTCAACTGGTCGAGACTCTGCTCTGGAAACGGAACCCAAACGAACCGAGACCGAAAGCGACACCAGCACCAGCACCAGCACCAGCACCGACACCGACACCGCGGCCGAGACACCGAAAACCACACACCGACACCGAATCTCAACTCAACTCAACTCAACTCTCAGCTGGCAAGAGCTCCACGGCAATGAGTAGTCTTTAATGCGGAGGCATCATCACTATCATCACACTCAGCTTGCAGCTTGGTCCTCACACGAGTCCACCGCCCAGGTCCCAGTCCAAGTCCCAATCCAAATCAAAATCGAAATCCAATCAAAGTCCCAGAGAAAGACAGAGAGAGACACAGAGCAGGAGTGCTCTCCTGATAACACCTAAATAATTGGCGGGGATTTAGGGGCGTCGGAGGGGGGGCGAGGTTCAAAATTATCACCAAAGCGAAGATCACCAGGGAGACCGAGGCGACGCAGGGCGGCCAACCTGGGGCCCCGGGGAACAAAGCTCATTAGTTGGCCTAGACTCACCCGCGGTGACGTTGTTTAATGATCGAAGCCAAGGCCGCCAACGGGCTTCGTGACGTCAATGCTAATGATCCTACAACAGAGATCAGTGGAAAATGCCAAACGACAAACGCCACTGTCGAAGATCCTTTGAAAGGCTCAAAGATCAAAATAATGTGTCACCAAATATATACATTCAAATGTGAAACAAAAATCATATAAAAGTCTGTGTTCAAAGATCATTGATCAGTGATCGCAGGGAACAACTATAACTGTAATTCATAATATTCAATAAGTGATATTGAAATCACTAGCCAAAAGATCTTTGTGCGTGCTATTGCTTTTATATATTTATATTAGTATTTCTAAATATAAAATACACTAATATAATATTTGTTATTTAAACTCATTCAATTCGAGCTATTTTGTGGCATTCCTAAACATTTTTTACATAAAAACAATGCTTGTTTTCATTTCATATAAATGTTTAGCAATTAAAAACTTACTCCCGAAATTAAAA